AATTTTGATTCTTCTTGCATACTTTCTAATGATATTCTTGTATTTAATACTAGCTAAATCTGAAGTGGTCAGTAACATACGCTAATATCAAAAAGAGATTTAAAAAAATACGCTAAAGGTAGCAAATGCTTTTAAAATGTCTGCGCCAACTGCAAATCCTATGTTTAATTATAGTGTGACATTAATAGAATATTAACGATTGTTTATTAACAGACAGTTACATTTCTTAAAGTTTAAGAGTTCTCAGAATCAGGAAAATTCCTTGATCCGGATCGGAACCCGACATTTTTTTAATTTGTACAATAATTTTCACATTTCCGATATCGTATTACGTGCTTAGATTAAAAAGATAGTTAATAACGTCACGGTTGAAATTAAAACCAATTTTTCCGTTAAAGCGCTTGCGTTTCCAGATACTACTTACTCGAATGACAGAAGTATTTGTGTCTCGTAACCTAATTTTAAAATATGTTTTTTTTTTCTACTACTTATATTATCTTAGCAAAAAGTGCACTGGCGCCATCGGTATCCGGCTTTACCGTACTCATGTTTGTGCTTTTAAAAGTTTTGTAACATGACATTGATAAAGGCTTTAATTCTTTTAAAATGTTCCTAAGCTCGTGGTAGTCGCGAGGTTTATCTTATCTGTGGAATAGTACCTCGAAGTGCTTTTTTACGTCGAACATCATTGGCACGTGTTTTGTAGTTTATGCACACACGACAAAGAGGTCTTATTCGTTTGTAGGTAAAAAATAGTAGGTGCAAGACGAGAATCACTTCCTGTTATGTGTATCGAGTTACGTATTAGTGTGGTCGGCGCTAGGGTTACCACAATAAAAATTTTTAATTATGTTCCAGCAATTTAAACACTTTTAAGACTTAAACAGATAACATATCTGCGCAGAAGATATTGCGTCGTGTGATCTTTTACTTCTTTCTCTTTCACAATCTGCATTCAAAATTTGAAAATAATTGTATATCTTTCCCGTTTTGACTACTTTCTTTCAGTAACACGTTTCCTACTTCTATGCGTAGAATTCTCTAAAACTTATCTGTACGTAAATTTACAACTCCTGTTTCAACCATTAAAGTAATGAGAGCATATGAGAGCAGTTTAAATGTCCGATTCCTCGTCTAACACGTTACATGGTCACCGCAGTCACGCGCCGTGTCTCTGCAACGGGACTCCGCCGCAGGCCCGCGCCCGCGCCCCTCACCCCGCCCCGGCGACAACTTTTAATTCCTGTCACTGTCAGTACCTTCCCAGAACTATAACTATTTATATTTTTTAGATACAAACAACAACTGTATTTTGTAGGGGCAATTAAAACGCAGGAAGACGTAACCCGTTATTTATCTGTGAACCTTTTTCATATCAATGTGTGAGATGAACCCGTCATATCGATTGTGACCACGAGGGATACAGGTATTGACAATTTTTGCCAAGACTGACTAGGTAGATAGGAATCTCATGTACCTTCATACATTTACGTCGCTTTTGAATATTTTTTAAATCGTAATATTAACTGTCATTCGATGAAATTACCGCACATTTCTCCGAGACTCCTCCATATCTTAATCTACGTAATCAGAAGCATACATTCTGGTAAAACGTAATCTTTAGAGGCACGAGGTTAATCAATGAACGATGCGACATACAAGAAACATTGTAATACAATTAAAGCTCTTTGCCAAGATGATCGAATTGCGAAATAATTACGATGGAACGATTATTTTTTGTTGTGATTTCGCACAAGGTCGTCCGTTGGTGTAAAAATAACGCACCCAGTGTTGATCCGGCGTGCGGCGGGCGGCGGCGGGGTACGAGGCACAATGCAGACCGTTTCCCTGTCCGATGTTATATTGTTCTGTCGTGATACGAGATTCGCGGTGCGCGGACGCTTCCGCGGCGCAGCTTGCGCGCGGGCGTTCGCCGGTCGACTGTTTCAGAGAGCGCCCCTCCTCCCGTCCCTCATTCATTCGGACGCATGAATGAACGACACACGTGGCCCAAAAATTTTCAACTGAAACTCCCGCGATGCCGATAGGGGAAAACTGTAACCTCGAACCGGCGTCTAGACTGACGGATAGACTTGTCTATGCCTCGCCAGAGACTCCGGCGCACGCAATAAAGATTATGTAATGCGTACTAATGATGCCACTGATGCGGTTGTTATACAACGCAAGTGGCATCACTCTGTTATTAATGGTTACTTACTAAATATTAAATGGAGATCACAATTCCTTTGTTGTTATTGTTAAATTATAAGTAATTATTATTCAATAATTAACATATGAACAAGAATTAAAACAGGTTGTTAATTGTTTATTGGCTATTCTTAAGAAATATCTACTTCCGCTTATAACCATTGGCAGTCGGCAGAGTTAATTATATTAGTATTTGTTTAAAGTGATAAAAACAATATGCAGAAAATGTTAAAAGTATGAGTATGGACTTGAAATAGTCGACTACATTCCAGGACCCTTGAATAGTGATGAGTTCTTAGATGAGACAATACAACGTTAAATCAATCGTGCTAATATTATCAATCTTACTAATATTATAAATGTGAAAGTTTAGACGGATGGATGGATGGATGTTTGTTTGTTAGAGTTTGTAACCTAAACTGCTGAACGGATCTCTGATGAAATTTGGCGTAGATGTAGAGGATAGTCTGGAAGAACACATAGGCTACTTAGGTATTTATTATTTTTTTATTACACGCGGACGGAGTCACGGGCAAAGCTAGTATATTATAATGAAATAAAAATAATAGTGCATTTAACTATGGACAACTCATATCGTATTGTTTTCATATGAGTTTTCTTGATTGTCCACTTGGTCATTTGTTTTAATTTATTGATTTACGCAAAGAATTGCTATTCTTCGAACACCTACGTTTATTACATAAATACAATGCGTTTCAGTACGTTATACATTATTTAATAAACAAATTAGACTTTAATAAGAATTCGAAATAAATTCCATACTATAAAATTTGTATTTTTAATATACCATTAGGTAGCAAAGGAGCAAGCGGCCACGTGAATACCGCTGCCCAAAGACATTCGCAATAGCGGATGCGTTTCCTACCCTTAATTGACGGAGGGAGGAACGCACATAAAGAGGAATTTCCCCTTTCTATGCGTTTCATTCTGATGTGAAGTCCATATTCCCTTCCCATCTTTTTCTTATAAGAAAAGGTGTGGAAAGGAAAAGTATTAGTTAAAAGATCCATGTAATCGTCCATAAAGTATTTTTACTAAGTTGGAATTAAAATCAAGCCCTAATAAACTTTTAATTATTTGCAATTTAGCGACGGAAACGATTTCATACATTATTCCTACAGTTGATTTATATGCAAAATATTCCAAAGAGAATTTAGATATAACGCAAAATACATTTTTTTACAATTAATGTTATTTGAATTAATAATAATAGAATTAACTAGAAAAAGTAATCGAATACTTACCAGTATTTGCAGACGTCTCGAATGCACTGTACAACACTATAATAAAATAATACTTGAAACTCACAGAAAAGTTTATTTTATATTTTTATCACTAATTGACAGGTAATGTTCACAAGAAATGACTTCCACGAGGAAGTGACGGTCCGGGTTTAAGCCGGGATACTTGGCCAAGGGAGGTCGGAAGCCCGCGCATGCGTTGTGGCCGGCTGGGCGTGACCTAGACCCTGAATAACACCCCCTCGCCCACGCACACACCGTTACCATGGTTACCGATGAAACGCATCCCGAAAAATCCAGGAAATGGAACTAAAACAGCTAAATTATATTGCATACTTCATACGTGCACGAATTGACATGTAATTGTTTAACTTAGAAAATTAGATTTTTTATAGGTTAATTCATTTTAATGGTATCTAACTAATCATTACGATTAGAAAAGCACAAGGAAAAGGTAACGGGTGCCTACAATACTCGCTCCTCCCAGTGAACGTTACGTCTGGGCGTGCATTGGTCTCCGTACAGCATGGTGTGAGGTTAGACAGACTTCCGGGACATTATCGATGACAAACAATATCTACGTCATTTCTCTGATATATTGACGTGGTTCACACCCACGTTACATTCCAGATTGTTCCATCTCTAAGTACTTACCGATTGAATAAGCGATCTTCACGTAGTGACTTCATCTAAGGGAATTGAAGTGTTGCCGTACAAGTGCTTCTTCCATACACTTTTAGGAGTGGTAGTGCCCGCTTTAACATCTTAGCACTGCAGGGCCAGCACGCCCGGTGTAATACCACGACCACACAGAAGACAGGCGTGAAATGGAAGCAATTCCGTGTTTCGTCTGATGAGTGCGGTGCCGGAGGCCTAATTTAAGTCCCTTTCCCTTTCCATCCCTTTCTTAAGAGGATAGGATGGGAAGGAAAAGTGGATTTGACGGTGGAGGAGACGCATAGGAAGGGGAAATGTCCTGTTTATGTGCGTCTCCTCCTTCGTCAATTAAAGGTAGGCAACGCATCTGCTATTGCGAATGTTTATGGGCAGCGGTCGCTTTCTATTTCGGTGGATTTAGGTGGCCGGTTGCTCGTTTGCCACCTTGTATTATAAAAAAAAAACATTTAAATTCAGAATAAAATTATTACGTACTGCGTTGAACTATTGAATTTATTTAGCATTGTACACGAGTAGGTAAAACAATATAATATTTGTATATTTTCTAAATATATATAGCATAGTTACATCTCGTTTGTGCAAAGTCTTTAATCGGTTCATCTTTTTTCTGGCCTAATAAGCGCCAGATATTTGCTTGTCTTGTGCTTACTGAGTAGTCTTAACTTCAAGTGAAATACCTTGCTTGTCGTATCCGTCTATATTTCATTTAGCTTAATACTTTAGTATTATTACTCGTCTTACGATGACTGGTTAATAAAATCTTTACATCTATATAATGCGTTTTATCAGGTCGGAGTAAAACTTGATAATTTCAGGAGTTTATTCAATAGGGGGTTTAAAGAAAACAATACATTTAAGTTTTTATCAATTTAATAAAACTTCTTCAATATAAGAATATGTCCGATTCCATCTATATAGTACAAATCATTAAAAAAATGGATAAACACCTACATAAAACACAACCTTCCGTATCTTCTGTTGAATCCGATCTCAAGTTGGCTCTAGGAACGTTCGCGACGGCTCATCTTACTAAAGAAAATCACACACGAAAAAAAATACCTTTTATAAAGAAAAAGAGAGACAATAAATGTTTTAATACATGTTTTTCAGTAGTGGAAACTACGATAAGTTTCATAAACCATCAAGTAAATTATCTTGTCGATATGTATTTTAAGTCAATGGACACATCAAGAAATCTCGACAATGAAAAAATTTAAAGTGACAAAAAGTAATAGTTACTTCAATGAAATAATTCATTCAGTTTACACTGATATGTATTGTGATGACGAATATCGATATCCTACATCGAGTAGAAGCAAAAATATCGATATAGAAAAATCGATTAAAAGCACCGCGTAGACAATACTGAGCGTACCAATGAGATCGTATATTGCACTAAAAATACGCTTCAATAACGGCCTTTCATAATAATTTATCTAATAATCCTTGAATATTTACAAATAAATATATTTCAAAACTAAGCGTCACGGCATACAATCACGAAGATATCAAAAGGTTGTCTGTTGTAACGAAATAAATAATATATAAATGGTCTATATACAATGTATTGCAAATTATCGACAAGCTACAACATATAAAAACATGGCGAATATATGAGAATTTTGTATGGAAAATCCAACTTTTTTATAAAAAAAAATCTTCGCTAGGATGAGATTCCGTGCGACTGTTAGATGGATCAGACACGGGGGGACGATATAGCGAATAAGTTCGCATCTACATAGAGGACGAGAGCTTTGAGTCTCATTGGAGACGAGAGGATAGATTCCTAGAGGATTTGGAAGAGTTTCTTTAATTCGACCATCAGCTGCCAGTCGGTCTTGATGAGGTCGTCGCGGAAGTAGTCCTTACAGGCGTCGATACTTGCGCGCGATATCTGCAACAACACACATTTTATAACTTTAAACTTCTACATAACATGCAATTCCCTTTTTTTCTATGACTCAAATAGACCTAGGTTTCCTAAATTATTGTTTTATTTATTACTTTTCATATATTTTACATCAATTAATATTTGTTAGAACAGGTATAAGATACACCTACAGATAAATATATCTGAAGATTCTAAAAATAGCATGTTAGATGAATGTAGCAGGGGTTTCATTGAGAGCGACCCAGTTTGGGGAGCATCGATTCACCTCGGGGTGAATGGTATGACGTCATAGGGAAACTGGGGCAGGTTGTGCAAGTGGGTCGGGTCCCCTCCCCCGAGCCCCGCTGCAGCCTTAATGCCCAGCCCGCAGTTCGCACGCCGCAGGTCACGAGGAAGAGGAAATTGGTTTTATAAATTTAGCATCAAGGATGCGTTTAACGACATTAAAGTTATTTATAAGTGGAATAAGAAATGTTGTTATCTAGGAAATTTTTAATTGAGCTATAAACCAACTTGGTAAAGTTGTACGTACATAAATTTTAACAATCTTTAGTAGATAGTGCATCTAAAATCTGTCTAAAATAAAACTCTATTTCACATCTGTTTTATTGTAATTGTAATGACGTTAGCAATTCCGATTCCAGTTACATATAATTACTTTTTTACACGAAGTAAACAAACATTATGATTTATGTAATGTACCGATAACCGCGCGAATACATTACCTAATCATATGTAGTAAATACATTTGCACAATAAACGTTGTTCCATCAATGAAACTGCGGTGCGGAATATCAATGGAGATTCTAGAATGAGATATGACCCGGTCATCGCGCGCTTGTGTGAGTAACATCGCATTACAACTAGATGAGCGAAATTAAACTTTATGTCTATGTTATAAGACATAATATTGTATAGCGAAGCTTTTATAGCGTATAACCTGATATAGGTTCCCATCATTAGAAGGCGGTAGGCTTTCAATGGCAGACGTCGAAAGTGCCTTTTAGGGTGCGCCAACACGCTGTCGAAGGAAACGGCGACTAGTTCACGTTTGCGCACTGTAATTACTTATTAATGAACGTCAAACCAGTTATCTATTACTGCAAAAAATTGTATGATTGATGGTTGAATAAGACACAAACATACCGGTAATTTTTTCAAGTTCTATTTAATACTGAGCGGATTACGAGTGTATTTGTGAATAGTTTCTTGTATTTAAATCGACAAATTGGTATTTATTTTTAAAAACTATGAAAACAGTAATAGTCATTTTATTTAGAGACTCCCTACGTTTGGCCTTAAAAAAAAAAGTTAGTAAGAAATTCGTTCAGTCGTTTAGGGTGCAAACTCTAACAAACATCCATCTAACCTTTTGCAGTTATAATATTAGTTTCGGATTTAAAACACAGAACATTTTATAAATCGAACCCCGGACTAATTCCCAAAGGCTTTTAAATCACTAATCAGTTGATATTACGTTAAAATCAAAATGAACAGACATCCACGTATATTCCCATAACAAGCTAATCAATTACAATAGCCAAAGCTGTGTTATGCATTCCTGCTTTATTACAATATTACTCATTCATGTTTATACTGTTATGCAGGTGATTGTCATACTCAGATATAAATGTATTGCGTAAGGCAAATCTATATAAATAAAAATATATGCATCATCATAATATAGTCATCTAAACTAATATTTTAAGATTTGTACTTTTGTATATATTGAAATAACTCAAAAACCACTGGACCGATTTCAAAAATTATTGCACTATTAAAAAGTTATGTTATCACTTAGTAACATAGGCTAATTGTTACTTTTATTTTTTATTTTACGAGGGCGTAGACGCGATCAACAGCTATTGAGTTATAACGTTAAGAAAATCGTACAACACTAGAAATCGGCATGTACGTCCCATCCCTATCTGACAGCTGTCAATGTCATTGAGACGTATTAGAAAAGCGCGCCATTCGGGCGGGATCTGTAGCTCTTAGTGTTTAAGTTCCTCGCTAATTACAATTACATTAGTGGCCAATAATAATACCTTAAACATAGAACAGCGTATTTAATAATTAGTTGGTTTCCATGTAAAGTTGCACAGAGCTTATATGATTACAATCCTAAGATTATGTAATCATACAAATTTGACAAAAAAACAAATAAAATAACGGAAAACAAGAATTGAGTCACAAAGTCCCATTACATCACAATCTATTTCAGTGCGAATACTGAGAACATTTTCATACGAACGTCACTAAACTAGATTTAATCTAGAATGTTCGAAAACGAGAAAAATCAATAACTTTTAGAAGTACAAATTTAGACATTAACTTCAGCAATTTAGTTCTTTTGTTATTGCGGATGTCCATGGGTCTTATCGATCACCTCGATATTCCAGTCGCTGATTTTCCCCCTTCTCTTAAAAATACGACCTACTTGTATCCCCAAATTATACACCTAATATATCCTCTACACGTGTCCTAATGACAGTATAAACGTGACACAATGTAGGTTAATAAATTACAACGTAAGTGTCATACAATACTAGCTTTCGAATGCGACTTCGTTCTCTTGTATTTCAAAAAGAAATAAAAAAATGCCTATAAATCTTTCAGACAACCCTCTACATATATGCCAAATGTCAGGGAAATCTCGTGTATACTGCAAACTCTAACAAACATCCATCCATCCATCAAAACTTCAACATTTATACTATTAGTAAGATAAAGTAAGAACTAAGATAGTGAGATGAATAACCAAACCACAGTTGTAAATGCTTACAAAGCTCAATAAACAGCGATATATGAACAGATAATTACTGTCCGTCCGTTTGTATCTTATCGGTTTTGAAAATTATGCGTGTCGCGTACAGGTTCAGTTCCGTGGCGTTTGTCGCTTGATAATAACTCAAACGATTTCCCGGCGCCGTCATATGGAGCGAAAGTCGATAGAAAATGTTATACAATATTTTCTATCCTGATGTATTAATTTTATTTTTATATCGACGTTATGTTAACATGGATTGTGACGTCACAAATACAGTAAAAAGACCTTAGTTGTATTATAATGCCAATTACCATCAAATAATAATGTTCTTTTGATGATCAACTTAAAATACCATCTTAAAACTACACTAATATTATAAAGAGGAAACATTTGTATTTTTGTATATATTGAAATAACTCAAAATCTACTGGGCCGATTTAAAAAATACTTTCACCGTTAGAAAGGAAATTTATCTGTGAATAACATAGGCTAACTATTACTTTTATTTTTTTTTATTTCACGCGGGTGTAGACGCGAGCAACAGCTAGTAAGTTATAACGTTAAGAATAAAATCGTAGAACATTTTTAATTTCTATACTATTATTTTAAAATTTCACGCAGACGGAGTCGCGAGCAAAAGCGCTATTATATGCGCTTTCTTGTTGATATAGGATCGCCTTAATCATCTATTCTGAATCATTATATCTGTCCATTAAGAGATGTCATACAGGGCCGAAGCCGGGGAACAATGCATGACACATGGCCATTGTTAGCTATCAATTAACAAAAGAAGTCACGTATTCTTGTTATTTCATATTTAACAGCTGAGTTAGAGGGGAAAGGATATCTATTTCAATTCAGAGTGGATAATGGACTCTGGTCTATTAATGAACTAGACTAAAAATGAAAAACTTAACAGCAAAGAGTTAAATCTGTGTATTTCTTTGAATATAAGAATGTACCTTGTCTTATAGTAAAAATAAACTCTTAAATATCTCAAATTTAATACCGCGGTTATAAATTGATTTTATTTTAATATTAGGCTGATTACATGTTACCTTTGACAGATGATTTCCGAATCAGAAAATAAAAAGGAGTCTATCAAGAAAATGTTGCTACCTTTGAAGTTATGGATTTCTCGGCATAAAGTTAGAAAGACAATATCGTAGAATTTTAATGCATTTTAAGGGTTAAAAAAGGGATTAAGAGTCAGGCTATAAGTAAAGGAGTATTTTAATATAAAAATGCAGTCAAATTGTAATGTTTTTGACTTGTTTTGTGCTAAACTATTAAACACGTGGTAGAGGGGGAGGTGTGGGGGCAGCGTATGGAAAGCGATGACGTCACGGGGCACGGAAATAGCCCGGCCTTCGCGCGGTGACGGGAAACCGCTCCGAGCTCACACCCGCCCATTCTATACTATGTAATTGGTTAGACAAAGATTGATGGCTCGATGTAGTCAACTCGTAAAACTCTGTTTGTTTTTCTATCATTTTATTTTTCAAACACAATATAAATCTTTTGCGCACCAATCTTCGCGATGGCCGTTACGATCGGCGCGTCGGAGAAACATTTTACTCTGGAGCACTTTGAATAGATAGTTATAACGTGCAAACAATAAATTAAGTATAACGCAATACTTTTTGTATTTTCAAATTCTACTAGGCTACGTATTTCGATATGAAATAGATGATCACGTTATGAAAAGAGAATGCTGTTGTTGGTTTGTGTTGATTCGACTGTACAAGGAACGAATTCAAATGGAATTTGTATTTTAACAAAATGTTTCGTTGTTACGTTTTAGTACAACATATTTTCAAATTGGTCATATTACACGTTTTGTCATTATGTTTTTATGAAGCCTACCTTGTCACCTTACTTCTTACTAGTCTTACTAATATAAATGCCAAAGTTTACAAAGGTGGATGTTTGTTAGAATTTGTAACCTAAACGATTGAACGGATCTCGATAAAATTTGGCATAGATGTAGAGAATAGACTGGAAGAACACAAAGGCTACTTACCTTTGTTTTTTTTTTTAATACCACGCGGACGGAGTCTTGGCCAAAAGCTAGTATATATATAAATGCCAAAGTTTAGATGGATGTATAGATGTTTGTTAGAGTTTGCAACCTAAACTGCTGAACGGATCTTGAAATTTGGCATAGATGTAAAGGATAAGGGAGGCTACTTTCTTCTTCTTCTTCTTATTCTTTTTTAATTCTACGCGGACGGAATACGGTAATATGTGCATCTGAGTACGTCAGCAATATAGTTGCATGTTGCCTGCAAGTTGCAATGCTCGTGGTGACGGGGTACAGTTAGCAGCATGCGGATGCCACACCGCCCCCCTGCCCCCACCCCGCAGACATTTCCCTCGACCCACTGACCCCGGGGATAGTGTTACCAACGGTATTCATTTTACGCGGATAATCATGTTTCCTTTTTTTACTATGTAACCATAATGGATTTCACTATATCATTTGCGTCAACATTATCTACTTTTAAACTTATTTTAGTCCTGGTATAGTTTTATAAGCAGTTTGCCCAGACAGCAGTTACACCGAAAGTATCCAATCGCTACGGAACTCTGCTGTCCCGGTTTTGCGTTAAGAATTTATGTTTAATTTTGCTTATTATGATTTTTATTCTTTAATAATGTTTATCCGACTGTATTGTAATATTGCATGTGTAAAAGACAATAAAAAAACCATAATGGATTATATAAAGTTACGTCATCACAAATTCGGACTGTTTTTAGTTTGTACACGAAAAGGTAAGTTCGTAGGATAATTTTTGTTTCTATGTGTAGATAAAACGTTATTAAAATTAGATGTCAATTTTTAACAAATGGTAGACACAGAAACAAGCTACACAAAAGAGTGTTAACTCTATAGTAGTAAAATCTGAGATAGTCTCACGACAGAAGGTATTTGTGGTCACCCTAAGCCGGCGTGCTGAATGGAAGCAGGAGGGCCGTCATTGACGGCGCGCATTCACGCTGCCTACACCGCTCAATGGTTCATTATTACAACATTTCTCAATGAAAACTCTAACTAGACTTTGTTTAGACAAAATAAAAGTATAAACACAACACACAAATACTTCTGCTCTTCACGAAGAACGAAGAACATTGTCTTATAATTGTTAGGTTACTAGTGTTTTCTTTATTTATTTGCAAGTCAAATAGTTGGGAATTTCTCTCCGGTTATATGTAGGCGAATTTCTGCTGGAGCGATTATTGTTTTGATTATTTTAGTGTATAAGTTAATAAACGAATTAATGAGTGGTCATTTAGTCTTAGTCGGTATTTGGTCATGCGAAGTGACCGCTTCCCATAGACATACGGATTTGTATGTATGTAAAAGTGAGTATCCGGCTCGAAGGACCAACGAATAAATCTACACTGTTTATAAGAACTGAATAGATTTTTTTTTACAAAAAACATATTTTTAACAAGACAGTAAAACGTGAAAATATATATATATATATATGCCAAAAGGAATAATATGAGCGGCAGCAACCTCTGTGTACCATGGGGTTATCCGACTTAAAATCGTAATGTAGTAAGGGCATTTTTTTTATTATTTTCTATCTCTGTCCTCACCTTGCTGACAAGCATGTCCGTCTCATCGAAGTGTCGTCCGAACATCTTGGGCGACTCCCCGGGGATGGGCTCTATCTTGATGCAGACCTCCTGGCCCTTGCGCGCCGTCTCCACCTGCTTGTGGTTCACCTCGATGGACGTCACCAGCCCCAGCTCCACGAACTACATATAAATAATTTATTACATATTTCAAAACAAGTTATTAGGTAAAAAAAAGTTTAAGTGTCGGTCCTACTTAAATTCTTAAATTGTTTGTAACAATCTAAAGTGTAAAATATTTGATGGAAATATCGGATTTTGTTCTTTTTTCTGACAGTGACGTCATTTTTAAGCTATCTGAACCTCTATCATCCAATTTCCAATTTAAAATTATGAATGCAAAATATAAAGACCAAAATAATATGTACTTTGAAAATTTCCTTATAATCGTCAACTATACTAATATTATAAAGAGGAAAATATTGTATTTTTGTATATACTGAAAAAACTCAAAATCTAGTAGGGCGATTTCATAAATTCTTTCACCGTTAAAGAGCTACGTTATCAGTGAGAAACATAGACTGTTTTTTTTTTTATTTGACGGGGGCGAGATCGCGATAAACAGCTAGTTAAACATAAACAGTAACTTATAAGATGTATAATGTACTTTACCTCTTTACTTGGCACACAGATGGGCGTGCCCTCCTTCACAATGCCCGCCTCCACCATCACACCCATCACGATGGGGTCGCGGGAGTTGAACACGAACTGTGGCAACACCTGAACGGGAGAAAATTAAATAAACAACAAAACAGTTGAACCACAAAACAATATTTGAAAATCATTCAATGTGTTTTTTTATTGAATGACTCTTGTGAATCGTTTGATGTACACAATAAGGGAATCTGGTGGTGTTCCATTAAAAACTACAAAAAAGTGGCATTCTTGTTTGTAACCGACTTCCAAAAGGAGGTGGTTCTCAGTTAATCTGAAAATTTTTAAGTTCTGTAACCTCATATCTAAGCACCCGGTTGTACGATTTCCAAAAAAAATGTTTAGTCGACTTGTGGTGCATTTCATTTGTTTTTATTTCTCATATTAACTTTAATTTCTTATTTTTACTTATAATACATTTTACATGATTTTATACATAAAAAAAATAAATAAAATAAAACGTATTTATATAAAAAAATAGTCATTTGTTTTATTATTATTATCCGATAGTTTGCACAACATATTGGTGCCTAATTGGTTATTTGTAAAAATAGAGTTTACGAACAAGGAAATTGGAAAGTGGAATACCGCGTATTTGTATGTACTTCCTAATTATCCTATAATACTATTTTACACTTATCACCAGTATACCTTTATTTTGCAGGGGAACACTGCGATATGCTTGAACTCCTCCCTCTTCTTCTGCTTGAGCTCCTCCCTGTACGCCGTGAACTTGTCGAACAGGTGGTAGATGATGTCCGCCGCGAAGATCTTCACACCCAGCTGGTCCGCCAGCTCCTGCGCGTCGCGCTCGATCTGCACAATTCATACTAATATTATACATACAAAAGTTAAGATGAATGAATAGATAAAAAAATAAAAAATAAAAATCCTTTATTGAACTAAAACAGTTTAGTACAGTTAGTGGGACTCTGTCTCCTGAGCTAGTGATAATAGATGTTTGTTAGAGTTTGTAGCCTAAACGGCTGAAATGATTTTGATGAAATTTTGTACAGATGTAGTGGATATTGTGGAACACATAGGCTACTTACTTTTATTTTTTTTTAATTCCACGCGGACGGAGTCGCGGCCAAAAGCTAGTATTACTATATTCATAAAACCATGTTATTTATATACACTTATTATTGCAATAATATATCTAAATTTAGCAAATATTGCTTAGTGTACCAAATAAAACGTTTGTAATATTGAAATACTTTTTCTTATATGTTACTGTCTTTACTTTTAATTTTAAATTAAATGATTATACTGATATTATTAGTCCGATGGATGGATAATTGTTACTACCTACTTCCAAAACTGCTAATGAATCTCGAAGAAATTTGACATAAATGTAGAACAAAGTCGGGAAGAACCTACGTACATACTATTTTTTTTATATCGCGCTGACTAAATCTCGAACACAACCTTGTACTATAAACATCGATACGAAATTACATTTGTTATGTACTAATTTGAAATGGGTGATACATAGTAGAAGTAAGCGTACCTTAACATCGAAGGCGAGTATTGTCGCGTACTGCGAGTCGTGCTCCAACATGGCGGAGGCCTTCATCACATCACGCTTCACAACTGGACCTATCCTGATGGCGGAGTACTGCAAAAAACCTTTACATTAGACCAAGAGCAATATACAAAGATAACGCTTGTAGTATTAAAGAATCATCGTATTCCAAAATAACAACGACAAGATTGTACACACTGAAGGGTGCGGATACTGTTATAAGTTAGAGGTGACTAGGACATAGTCAACCACGCATATCTTTAATTTTTTTCACAATATGTGCAGTTTTCCTTTCCCGTATAAACGTCAGATAAAAGTACAATCGGGATAATTGGCGGTGGTCCACATTGAAAAATAATCGCTTGGATATTTTGCACATCAAATCGACAGGAAACTTTAATCAATATGATTTCAAACTATCTATATAAATTCGGTCGGTATTAAAGTTTTTTCATAGTTGAATGGGGCAAATTGTTACTTAAACAAAAAACACTACTTGATTCGATGCCCAAGGACATCTGCAACGTCAGAGGAACTGCAGATGCGTTGCCTTTAAGAGAATAGTACAGTTTTTTTCTTGAAAGCCCATAATTCGTAACTGTTGATTGTTTACTATATTTTTTTATTCCGTCACGTAAGCAGTAGGTACTGACGGGTATCTTGCTGGTCCTGAGGAACTCCAGCAGCGCCTCCAGCGAGCCCAGCGTGGAGGCCTGCACGTACACGCCGCGCTCCGTCAGCTTGATGGACGACAGCGCAGACTTCAGCTCGCGCGCCACCTCCTCCCTGCACATATCACCACATTACTACGCTCCTATAAATAACTAGTTGTTGCTTGTGACTTCGTCTGTGTGAAATCAAACGTAGCTTTTTAATGGTGAAAGAATTTTTTGAAATTGGCCCAATAGTTTTTGAGTTTTTTCAATACATATAAATATTCAATAACACAAATCTTTCCTCTTTACAATATTAGTATAGATGTTGCTCGTAACTTCTCCTGCGTTAAAATAAAAAATATAGCCTATGTTACTCACAGATAAATTACCTTTCTAACGGTAAAAGAATTTTTTAAATCGGCCCAGTAGTATTGGAGTTTTTCAATACATACATCCACAAATACAAATTATTTCTCTTCATATTGGTAAAGACAACTACATATATATATGCGTTTTTTAAACATTATTAGACTTTGTATTAAAAGGTCAATAAAACTTACTTCAAGACATCCACTTCATCGGGTTTCTGCGCGACGAGCAGGTTGAGTCCGGCGATGGCTTTCTCCAGCTCCTTGGCGGCGATCTTCACCCCCTGCGCCCCCACCACCTCCTTGTGCTCCATGTACGCGTTCTGCACAAATAATCACAACTAAGATAAAATTATTATACCAAGTAGGCCAGTAACTGTTAGTCAGCACTGGAATACAACTGGCGTAATGTAAACAATAACTAGAGCCAGTGTAATACTGGCCAAAAACAAAGGCTTTTCAGAAAACTGTACTTTGCCATATAAGCTAGCAAGCTTGATTGCTAAAATTATTTAAAATTAAAATAATAGAACTTTTCCTAACTAGGAATTACTGTTAGAATTAGGTAAAAAATATTGCATCAATTCTTACGCAAAAGTAGTGTTGATTTCTTTTACTAAAACACTATGGACCGCTTATCGACCACAATAGAGAAATAACATTGAAAGAAGTTAGCGAACATTCTAGAAGGACTGGTTACCTTGACTCTAAGCTCCTTCATAGGCTGCGGCATGAGCAGGGAGCGTATCTGCGTGACGATGGGCCCGTCCGTGCCCGCCAGGATCATCGTGTCGCCCTCG